TCAATTTATAAAATACCAAATAAGAATATAAATTATTTTATAGAAACAAAAGAAAATTCAGTAATACACCATAAAATAATTATTTTAATATGTTTTTTTTAATAAACTTGTGGATAAAATATGAAAATTAAGTATTACATAAAATAAATTTTAAGAAATATTATAAAATATTATTTCTAGATATAAATAGATTATATAAAGAAATGAATGTATTATATTTTTTAATATAATAAATATAAAGGAATAACCTAATTGAAAATAATAAAATAATTTAATATTTCATAAAATTAGAAAACAACACATTTATGCATAAATTAATATTCTAAATTATTAAATATTATGAATTTAAAATACTTAACAAATTAATAAATGAGAGACATCACTCTATACACATAAATTATAATAAAAAAATAATAGAATATTTTTCTGTTTAAAAAAAAAATCGTAATCAAATCTATGGAGTGTGTGATTAACTATTTTAGAAATATACATTTGAAAATAAATTAAAAGTTATTTTATTTAGTGTAAAAATACAGATGTCATTTTAAGTTAATTATCATTTTAGTTATTTATTATTATTGCATATTCATTATAAATAATTTCACAATAGATCTATAACTTATTCTAATTTATTTTAATATATTTAGTTTTCCTCGTAGTACACATGTATTGTATAATTTTAAGATTAAAAATATATCTTTGTGGAAGCATTAAGAACCTACTATCATCTAAATGTAAGAAAAAATGTTCACACATAGAGGTTGGGCAACCGATGTGAATGAACCCATGCACAACGTCTATGCCCGCAGCTCCCAGTTATTCAACTGCAAGGAAAAAGTGCAAAGGGAGCGCATAGGCGTCTTGGCACCGACTCATTGCTGAGGTAGGTTGCAGGGCGTCTGCTTTCTCGATCACTGATTGATTCTCCTTGACAAGCATACAATTCAAGAGGTTATCAATCAAGCAAAGCGAAGTTTGCTCATATAAAGTCATAAAAATAAAAATAAAAAGGAAAAAGATGACCTACTCTTGTGCTCATATCAGTCAAGGGGATACCATCTCCCCGTATCTCTTTGTGCTCTGCATGGAGAGGCTGGCACAACTTATAGACCAGGAGGTGAACCGGCACATATGGAAACCAATTTCTGTTGGGAGAGGGGCGGTCACTCTACCTTACTTGATGTTCGCAGACGACCTACTCTTGTTCCTCGAAGCTACGCCTGAACAGGTGGGTGTCTTACAGCGGGTCCTTGATAGATTCTGTGATATGTCGGGACTAAAGGTTAGCTCGGCGAAGACGCAAGTCTTCTTCTCTCGCAATGTCGAGATGCCCGAACAACATCGTTTGGCGGATGCGTTGCTGTTTAAATGGACAAACAACATGGGGAAATACCTTGGGATGCAAGTCATCCACGACCGTGTAACCAAGTCGACTTTTGCTCATATCCTTGATAAGGCGGAAGAGCGATTAGCACGGTGGCGGATGAAAACTCTCTCTTTGGCGGGACGTGTCACTCTTACACAGTCAGTCATTAGCGCCTTGTCGTACTTCTCCATGCAAGCCGCTTTGTTGCCTGGTGCCATTACCGATGGATTAGAGCGGCGAAGTCGTGCTTTAATTCGTGTGGGGTGGTAATGCTAATAAACGGAAAATCCATCTGGTTGCCTAAAAAGAAGTGTGTAAACCCAAAGACGAGGGAGGTTTAGGCATTAAAAACCTATGGAAAATGAAATGTGCTCTCCTGATGAAGCTAGGTTGGAAGCTCCTAACTAAAAGCAGCGAGCTATGGGTGTGACTTATGGCCGCCAAGTATGGGCTTACTTCTTCGATAAGATTGGATAACTCACAGTGTCGTCACGGGTCACCATCACTACAAGAAGAATCATTTTTAGTGACGATAATTTTTGTCGCTATGTCGTCAGGAAGAATACCGTCGCTATATATATTCGAATGTCGTCACAGTAATACCTCTTATTGTGATGGTATTTTTTGTGACGACATAGGGACAAGAATTATCGTCACTAAAAATGATTATTCTTGTAGTGCATTAATGAAAGGCCTGGTCACGATTTGGCCCGACTTAGTTAAGGAGTTGAGATGGAGTGTAGGTGTTGGGGAGACGGTGCGATTTCGGCTCAATCTTTGGGTTGGCCCACTCGGCCCCCTTGTTCACCATGTGTATCACAGGCCGGCTGCCCATCTTCTTGAGCTAAAAGTCGTAGACTACGTAGACGATCGGGGTAATTGGCGTTGGAGTGATTTTCACGACATTCTGCCTTCAACAATCATAATGCGGATCGCCGGGATTGTGCCACCGCGAGGAGCAGCCGGAGAAGATCGTATCATGTGGGGCGCATCCCACGATGGCCAATTCTCGACTCGCACGACCTACTTGTCCCTATCTCAGCAAGTTAGTGATCCAGATCGACCATTATGGAAGCTAATTTGGAATTCTCCTGTGCCTCAACGTGTTAGGACCTTTCTGTGGTTGGCAGCTCGCGACCGTTTACTAACTAATGGCGAACGAGTCAGACGACACCTTGCTAGCTCGCCGACGTGTGAGTCCTGTGGTGAGCCCGAGTCCACCATGCATGCTCTGCGTGATTTCCCAGTTGCAAAGAACATGTGGAGAAAACTTATTCCGCCGGGAAAGTAGGGAAACTTCTTTTTACAGGATCTCAGGCTGTGGTTATGGAGCAATCTCAGCAGCGCGTCTATGGGGCATGGCAAGAACTGGGGCGACACATTCACATTTGGTGTTTGGCGCTCCTGGCATTGGCGAAACGATCGGATATTTAATGGTCAGAATCTGGACAGTGAGGCTCGGTACTGGGACGTCATCAGAAAGCTGTTGCGGCCTATGTGAGGGCAGGAGCGACACTCCATATGCTTCGCTTAATCAAATGGAACCCACCGGACTCGGGGTGGATCAAAGTGAACACCGACGGGGCCTTCACTCGTAGTACTGGATTGTGTAGTGCGGGTGGTTTGCTCCGGAATGAACTCGGTCGATGGGTTGAAGGATTTGCTATGAATATTGGTATTGGCACCATTACCGGAGCTGAACTATGGGGGTGTTCCAAGGATTACAACTGGCATGGGATCTGGGATACCGAAAGGTCATCGCTGAAGTTGATAGCCAGTGTGTGACGAAAATGATACTTGGGCCACTTTCTCATTTTGGTGCGCACGAATCGTTAGTACGATCCATTAGGAGCTTGCTCCACCGGGACTGGAGCGTTCTGATCCAACATGTGCATAGGGAAGCAAACTTTGCTGCCGACCATTTAGCGACCCTCGCGGCTGCTTACCCGCTAGGATTTCAGAGGATCTCTTCACCGCCCCAAGGGTTGGCTGCCTGGCTTGACCACGACTTCCGGGGGGTGGCTTACCCACGTCGTGTTCTAAGTTTGCAATTTCAAGTCATTGGCCTCCGTCTTTGTACCAAAAAAAAAAAAGAAAAAAAATTACCACAATTGGAAACT